GAGGACCGAGCCCTGCAGAACCCCACTGCCCACGTCCTTCCAGGTTGAGAAGGACCCATCCACTACCACCCTCTGGGTGCGGCCCTCCAGCCAGTTGGCGACCCATTTGACTGTGTGGGTGCCTACGCCACAGCCCCCCAGTTTCTTAATATGTAAGAAACATAGCCCTGCTTTGTGGCAGCAAAGGTGCCCTTTCTGGCCACGGCCTGAACCCTGCCTCATTACCCAGTCTGGCCCATCTGTGCTTTTCTACTCTCCTGAGCTGTTAGGGCCTTCAGTTTTTCTGGCTAAGTCCTCTTCTCCAGCCCAAGAAGTAGTAGTGGCCACTTTCTTGTGGAGTGCTCAGAGCTTTTCCTCTCCCTTTTGGCTCCTTCCAACTCCACCTTTCGGCATTTTGAGCTCTGGCCACTGGCGGGACTGAAAGCACCTACATGCCCGTTGGGCACCTCTGGGGGCTAAACCACAGTGCACCCCTCAGGCATCCCAATGTGACCTCTTCTTCACACTTTGTCCTCCAGTGTGAACGCAAACCAGAAGCGAGAGCATCCACCTCCACAACAAAAGATTCTGCTCTTGGAGTTAATCCCACCCACGGTAGCACTAACACAAAGGCTCCAGGCACTTTTCTTTTGCTGCTCGGGGTTTGGGGTTTCTTCCAACCCTCCTGGGGCATAGGATCCTTCCTCTGTAGGCAGTCCAGACTGGCTCTTCCCTGGAGCTCTGCCTCCTGCAGATCCTATGGCCAAACTGTCTTTCTAGGTCAGGCCCTGGCTTTATAAGTTTTGCCTAGAGTCACCTGACACTCCACTTCTACCCCAAGCCTGTCACTCGCTGCACCTTATTAAATTGCATTTTATTAAATGACCCTCTTCCCCTAGCAGTTCTTTCAGTGGCTGGAGTGTCAGCTGCTCCCTGGCTTCATCTCATCTCCAGTAATGGGGTGGGGGCTTCTCCTGTGTCACAGTGGGGATTGTGGCTGGGTCCTAGTACCGGCCAACCTCTGACCTGAGCTGGGTCATTACAGTTCACAGCCTCAAAACGTTGCTGACCACTGAGCTAAGCTCCTTATTTAAATATCGCATTCTCTTGCTTCTAGTTAATCTTTGTTCTTCTTTGATATAGTATCACTGATTGGTGTAAACTTGGTAATGGCTTTGCATTTCTGATCAATACAACCTACTGAAATGTTGGGGATTAAATCTAATTTTCTGCCTATTCATTTTAGCACAACAAAAGTGTCAGAATTTGGATCTTATTTATGTTACGCTTTACATGAATAGTTTACCCACTGGTTCTTTATACCCTGATTATTATCTGCTAATAGGAGCTATGCCATTTGATAAATCACATTCAAAGTTGTCCATGAAACCTCAATTAAGTACTGATTGTCTTTGATTGAAGAGTAATTTGCCACTAAAAGCAAGCAGGAATAAATCAGCATTTTACCTTTTAAATGATATGGCTGCGGTACAAAATGATTCTCTTATTAAAAACAAAGAAAGCCTAAACTAAAGTAACATTGACTGTTTTCCAATTGATGCACAGGTGGATTTCAGAGAGAATTCACAGAAAAGTTAGTGGCACGTGTTTATGTCCCAGGTCCATCACAGGGATTCTGCAAGCCAAAGTAACAAAGTAATAAGTACTACTCCACATCAGTTAGTCACACCTTGACAATCACACACTGTTCTGATTAAATCGTTGTAAAATTATGCCCATCTTTTTTGCACTTGAAAAGGTTTTTGACAGTCATCAGGATAGTTAATGTTAATGCATACTAAAAGGATTACACCATGACTTTGAAAGGTCTAGTAGAATAATTTTGACCATGTTGGCAAAAGTCAGAGTTTCACCATGTGAAAATGCTTGTCAAGATAAGCTTATGTTTTGATGCAATTTAATACCTTTATGATGATACCAGTTTTGCAAAGGGATCTCCACTTTCACTTGTCTTGTACAGTATGTTTACCTAATGATGCATGTGACTTAGAAAATATTCTGCTTTCTGAGAGTCAGATTGGCCTCCTGTTTAGAAAGTCCACAGAAGAAAAATTACACAGTTGAATCCTACTCAGACTGACAGACCCCTCATCCTCAGTGAAGTTGCAGGTTGTTACAAGCTGAGGAGGGAATTTGCTTCCAGGACTTCAGGAATCTTTGAAAATGCACTCACATTATTTGCAAGTGGATATTTTTCAATTTAAAAACCAAAGTCGCTGTTGAGGGTGTAAACGTATAAGATATAAAATATATAAGAATAAAGTACACTTTGTTCACGTATAGCTCTCAGTTGTGGTGGACAGGTGCCATCCCAAAATCTCAGTACAGAGGCCTTTTTTGGACACCTTTTGGAAAATTTTGGCCCTAAAAGTACTTAAAGTAAATCCAGATAAAAGGTGTCATGCAAATAAAGAATAGTGATTTCCCACCACCCCATTTTTTTTCTGTCACTGGCTATATGATTTACCAGTTTCTTTGTGCTAAAATAAGCTGCTAATTTAATGTCATCTTGTTCTCAAGATGCACTCAGGATGCATGATAGCAGGGGACAGAAGGCACTAGATATGAGAAATATTGCTGAGTCTGTTTCTTCTGCCTTTAGTCACATGGACTATTTTTTCACTGCTAGTCTTGTAGCACCTTGGATGGACCTTAACCGTCTCTCCCATTGCATGTGCCCTCCTGGTCTTGGGGAGGTCCATCTCTGCTGTGGTACCCCAAGAGTGTTTTGTCTCTTCAGGTATAAATTGCACTTCCTGGGCTCACAGGATTGAATCAAGACCGCGGAAGAGATATATAAACCCCATTTAGAAAGGCCATTTGGCCTTTTATATAAATGGCATTGTATAAATGAAAGGTCACCACCAGCTGTAATTAGATATTGCACAGTATTATCTCCCCTTGCGTTATATTTTTTGTTGTGTGACTAGAAGTGTAGTTGGTGTTGAGTACCTATAATGGCAGGTAGCCCTGACAATGTGTATAATTTGATTTGCTTTTCAATGCGCTAATTCATCAATTTGCTTTCATTTCAATAGGACAGGTTGTTGTCGTGACTCCTGGAAGGGACTCATAGATGTGATAATTGAAGTGACAGTGACGTCTCACTGGAAGCACATGTCCAAAATAAAATAACATATGTGAACACTATTTTAATTAAAATATCTGTCTTCTCTTGGTAGCCAGAAGTGCAGCTTGCTGAAGGCTTTGATGTCTTTATGCCCAAATCTCAGCTGGACTCTATATTGTCAAACTATACACGCTCAGGAAGCTTACTGTTCAGAAAACTGGTCTGTGCATTTTTTGACGACAAGACTTTGGCTAACTCTTTACCCAATGGGAAGAGGAAAAGAGGACTCAATGACAATCGAAAAGGATTAGACCAAAACATCGTGGGTGCAATAAAAGGTAGATTTCTATGTTGTGTTTTAAATGTGCCTGTAGTTGAGAACTTACTTGAATCATCAGTGCCTGTGTTTGTTAAAATTTGTCTAAAATGGATAGTAAAAATGTACATTCTTATTTTTATTTCATTTCCCTGATTTTTTTTTAGTTGGTCCCCTCAGGGCCAGATGAAATGATACATTTATGCTTAAGTTCCCCAGCCTCTGAGATGACGTGATGGGATCAGAATTTTGTTTCTCATTTAGAAACAAATCTTCATAACGATCAAGGAAGTGGCGAAAAGCTTGAAAACAGGACCAGAGTGTAACCAATGCTGGTCTGATCAGGGGACACCCTTAAGCAAACAGTATAGCAGGAGGAATATATTTCCCCACTGAAAGATGCTATCTCAAGAAGTTAGAGGGTCATGAGTGCAGTATATGGGCTTTACCTGAGGTCTTAGATTAGAATAATTCCCCTTGGCCCCCTCCCTTTTCAGGGATGAGATGCACTGATACGGTGCTGAGGAGGAGCTTGTCCTGTCCAGTTGTCGTATCTGCTCTGTGAATAGTTGTTGCATGGGTGAGTGGGGAATATCGTAGTGGAGAGTAAAGTTTTATATCTAGCTCGGAGGTCTATGTCTACTTTGTTTTTCTTCCTCTTGTGAGAATGAGTTTGATAGTCTAGGTCTAGCTCCCATGAAATTTCTGTCACTGTGAGTTCTTCCCCTAGATCTACAATTTAAAGTCCCTGTGGAACATATCTGTTAAAGAAAGTTATGATCCACCCATATGAAGAGTTTGAAACAACAGGACAGAGAGCTTTGAATTGCTGCTGTGTTTTGTACTAGCTAGAGCTTTATCAGGCTATAAATTTAATTCCATGGTATTCATTGCCGTAATCTAACCTGGGCATTATGAATGTGTGGCTCATGTCTGGTTCTTGGTTTATATTGCTTATGGAAGCCCTGGTATTGACCCTAATGGTAATTATAGTCAGGTTTCTGTTTTCTATTTGCACACGTTAAGAGAACAAAAAAAGATTATTATATAATTGCCTATTCCCTGAAAAATTAGGTACTGCCCTCTCAGAGACAGAATGTTAGGACTAGAGGAACCAGTGTCTGATTAGGTATAGCAATTCTTATGTAATGTTAATTGACCCAGTACGTCTGGTCACACCATGCTGGCTCTTTTGACCCAGTGCCATGATTAATCTATTAATACTGAAAGGCCCATTGCTAGATACATGTATGATCTGTCATACAGGGTGTTGAATTCTGGTCCACAGGGCCATGCATAGCAAGTTTATCTTTACATGGTGCCTTGCATACAGAAGACCAAAAATCTTTGCATAGTGAGCTGGTCACAAACCTTACAGACGGTAGAAAAGTTTTAACGTGAGAGTTGAGTGCAGTGATGGGAACAGAAGGCAATAGGGAAATGACTGTGGGACAGTACAATTTAAATAAAAAACTTGCCCTTTATAGAAAGAGAAGTGTTTCCAAGCAGTTAAGCAAAAGATGACTGTGTTTTTTCAATGCAAATTGAAAAGCTTGAGTTAAAAATTCCTCAAAAATAGGGTTTAGCATAGAGATGCCAACAAACACATTTGTGTGGTGGCACTGCTAGGCACTGCTATGATACGCAAATTGTCTTTATTACATTTATAGCATAATCCCTGTCACGCTTGACAGGGGAGCCCTTTCCTAAAGACTAATGCAACAAGATGCCAAGGATTGACGCACTGTGGGACTTTACTGAGCCTGGCTCCAATAGCACTTTTTTCCCCTCTGAAGAACCATGCTGTAAGACACTGTGGTTTCATTTATTCCAAGCGATGACTGAGCCAGTATGAAATCTCCACCAGAACAACATCATGTTGTTTGCATTATTTCATTAAGACATTCCTCTACCAAGCTCCCAGATAGTCTTCAGTGGCGCTTTTCGTTCTGTTCCATGACATGGATACAGAAACAAAGAAAAGGCTACATTTATTGACAAAATTAGCAGGAGAACTTAAAGGAGACACCGTTGATTTTTGAAAATTGCCCTTCTGTCTCAAAATATTTTAGCTACCATAATAACAAGTAATATATAAGATTCCTATAACTGAGAGTGATTAGACCAGGATCAATTCTTTCTACTTAGTGTATTCAGTGGTATTTGGTATAGAGCCAGCTTCTCCATTTCTCCTATGCAGTTATTTTTCCTGTTGTTCATGTCAATCTTCCATGCAGGAAAAAGGCTGGAGAATATTGTTTAAAAATTCAGTTATAAAATGTCAAAAATTGGTACCAGAGTTAGGGCAGGCATAGTAAGGGAAACTGTTACCACCTACTATCGTTGGGGTTTTTTGTGTTTTTTTTCAAGCAGAATGGAAGCATGTCATTTCTGTTTCAAAATATGTTGTCATCTTTCACATCAGAGCCATCACCCGAGTCGGCAGCTTTTTATTTGTATTACAGTGGTGATACAGGAGTCCTGGACTGGGACCTTGCTATACTGGACAATGTATAGACCCAAAACAGATCTGTTCCTGCCCCGAAGAGGCTGGAATCCATGCAACTGAAACAGTGGACCTGACCTCAGTCCATCTGGACTGGCCCTTTTGCCCTGGGGGATCAGATTGTACTGTAACGCCTTGGTCCTGCAGAAACAAACACATGTTGCTTAATAGCATTTAACTTATTTAAAAATGAAGTAATTTGGGGAAAATGTTCTCTGTCTGATCCTTTATTCTATTAATTTTTTTAAACATGTATTTATCACTCAGTCAGGGTCCAACCAAGCCTAAATGGCTCTTCATACTGGCATGGCATAATTTCCCTAAGCCAACAGCATGCTATGACCTGATCTGGCCAGTGTTCACGTCCAGCTGCCTTTGACTCCCCAGCCTGAAACATCAGATATCCATTTGCAGCTACATCAGCTGGGGGCAGTTTTTGCCACAAGTTTGCATCAAGGCTTGGAACTCTTGCCTGTCAAAGGCATATTGAAAGGTGCCTTGGCCACACAGCTGCCATGTCCCTGTAACTTATATTACTACATTATAATGTAGCTTCTGTATTGTGTGCCCCCCATACACTTTATGCATTACTTGTCTTTCTATACTGTAACCTCTGTGGGCAGAGGACCATGTCAGGGTTCCAGGTTCTGACCAACATCTCTAGCCACACCAGCAGTATTAATAATAGTAATACTTTTTCTTAAGTTCTTTTTGCATTTTTCTCACTTAAACCATAAAAATCAACTACAGCAGTTTAGCTTTTGTCTTATAGTTGCTCTCCCTTTGTATCTTCAACTTAGCAAAGTTAGAGCTGCAACAAGGATTACTTTCCCTAGTGGAACTGAAAGCATTTTTTTGTAAATGTCTCCTAAGTTTAAGCTGTATAAAAACTCACTTTGCAAGATCTAAATTTGGACCTAACTGACATGGACACTTGAAAGCAGTGTTTTTCCTTATGTGTTTATGGAATCTGTCAGTGCCATCTTGGTTGCCAATATGATAAATGCCAACAGGGAGTTCAAGACTTCTGCAGTATCAGGATTTCTGTGTATCACTTTTTTTTTTTTTTTTGCTTGCAGCCTGACAAATGGGGTCCTGAGAACAGAATGGCCATAAGGAAGCCTTCAGTTCTATATACATGCTGTACAAATATGGGAGGCAGGCATTTACAAGTGTCTACCGTGTCTGGAGGCTTAACACAACTACTTCATATGCAGAAAGATAACTGTGTATATGAACAAATGATATGAGGTGTACACATTATTTCTACATCTCTATCCTAGGTTTTTAATACAATTCAGTACAGGATCTCAGCACAAATGATATTTCAGCAATAACCTTGGATTAGACTCTGGCCTTGCTTTCGTAGAATTGACCACTTGAATGTTAGTTTTCATTGGTACTTAGTTTTAAATCTTCCTCTTCCAGTTTTTTTCCCCCACTCGTCTCAATTTTGTGGCACATTTTTAAAAGATCGTACCTTTTTATTTTAGTCTTCACAGAAAAATACTGCACTGCTAACCATGTGGATAAACTTCCTGGCCCCAGAGACTGGGTACAGATTCTGCAGGATCAGATTAAACTGGCAAGACGGCGATTAAAAAGAGGCTCAGGTAAGCAGGAAAATGTAAGAAATCTCATGTTACTGTAAGACTGAAGTCACAGAGCTTGAGCATCCATAAAAGGTCCTGAGCATACCTTTTTCCCAGTGACTTGAACTGGAGTTGCAAGTACTCAGGATCTCTGGAACTAGGCATTTAAGCTTTTGGCATGTTTCTGCTGGAATGTGAAAAATGGTGTTCAGTTGTGTTTTGAATGGTAACAATGTTGGTAGATATCTTCGCTGCAGAGTTAACTCCAGTGTTGCCTGTAATCCCTCGCCACTTACACATATAACCCTCTCTCCTGAGTTCAGCATTGCTTTGTACTTACCCTATAGCCCTAGCTGGGCCAAACTTCAGGGACTGATTTCCCTCAGGTCCCTCCACCCACTTTGTGGTAGGTGCTGCAGTCCTCCAGTACCTCCCCACAATTGCCCCTGGTGTCCAAAAGTTCTCCCACAATTCATTGGGAGATAATCATAGAGTATCCCAGTTTACTGCAGGAAAAAAAGAACACTGGGATATGCCCCCAGACTTCCAAGGAACACACACAAATGAATGAAACAGCAGGGAGGATTCAGATACTTGGGTCTGCTCAGGCCTAGGTGCCAGTTACTTAGCTAAATACTACTGGGAAGATGTACCATTAGACTCTGATCCCTCTGTTCAGGGCATGTAGGTTCAGCACTCTGCCCATGTGCTCTCAGTCCAATTGCAAATAATGGTGCATAAACTGAATGGCAGAACTTCCAGGGGCTGGAAAATAATACCCCACTCCTGAAGTGTGTGCAGTGATTTCATAAACTTGCTACTCTCCTTTCTAAGTACAATGCTCCCTTTCCTCCTGGGGACTTTCTGCCTATGTGGGTTCTGTCACCCCTCCCCTTATTGACTCTCCTTAAAGTGTTTCCCACTCATTTCTCATAGCCCCTGATCCTTCTTATTGGTAGAGCATCATTTGTACCACTCCGACAGGTGTCCTGAGCCCTTAATCATGTTGCACTACAGCTGCCAGTCTTAGCTGGCTCCCCATGTTTGTTTGTTCTTTAATCTTCTCACTGTCCTGACCCTTACTATGATTATGTGCGCTGTTAAGACAACAAGGACCATAATGAAGCATTGAACCCAGGTGTTCAAACCAGCAATGCAGAAGATAGTGTTTCTGAGCCAAATTGGAGTTATTCTTTAATAATTACATAGCCATTTAAACAACGAATTCCACAGAGCATTCCAAAGGCCAAAAGCCTGTCTGGCTAAAGGCTGTGTGATAGACCATGGGGAACAAACAAATGGTGCCAGCACCACCAAACCAGTGTTCTCAGTCCAGAGAGCTGACAGAAACACTTGCTTAGGCTTTGACATCACTCTTCAAAAGTTCAGGTCCTTTCCTATCACACAGATTGTTTAGTAGCATAAAATAATCCCTGTCTTAAAAAAAAAAAAAAAAAAAAGGGGGGGG